GAATGGCTCTCAGGGCTGGTGGCCTAAAGGGAGGTGGGCGGTTCGGAGGAGAGGCAAGCAGGGAGGTGGTCTGAGCAGCTCAGTTTGAATGTGAGTGACAAGTTGCCCAGACTAAGGAGAAAAGGGCTAGATCCAGGAGCACAATGCAGATAGTGGTGAGGCCCATTTTGGGTCTATGTTTCTCCTGATCCCTGCCATCACTTGCAATTGAGGTGATGCAGCACAGTGGAGTTCAGACCAGTTTGCTAGCTGGATCAGTGGCCCAATGAGTAAGTCACTTGGCATTAGTCACCTGGTTTAAGACCCTCAGTACTCTACAATAGAAAAGACAGAAGAGTAAAGGCCTAGGGATTATCTTTCTATAAGACTTCCTGCAACTACCATTTACAGTGGTACCTCGGGTTAAGAACTTAATTCGTTTTGGAGGTCCGTTCTTAACCTGAAACTGTTCTTAACCTGAAGCACCACTTTAGCTAATGGGGCCTCCTGCTGCCGCCGCGCCACCGGAGCACGATTTCTGTTCTCATCCTGAAGCAAAGTTCTTAACCCAAGGTACTATTTCTGGGTCTGAAACCTGAAGCGTCTGTAACCTGAAGCGTATGTAACCCAAGGTACCACTGCATAGTGATATTGTTGCTGCTTTCACCAGATTTTTCAGCATGCTGTTGCCATTACAGTCATACCTCATGTTACGTTTGCTTCAGGTTGCGCATTTTCAGGTTGCGCCCCGGAAGTACTGGAAAGGGTTACTTCCGGGTTTCGCCGCTTGCGCATGTGCAGACGCACAAAATGACGTCATGCACATAAGCGGTGAATCGCGACCCGCGCATGCGCAGACGTGGGTTGCGTTCTTTTCAGGTTGCGAACGGGCCTCCAGAATGGATCCCATTCGCAACCGGAGGTACCACTGTATTCAAATAGTATTCTGGAATAACACACTAAAAATTCTTTTTCTTCTACTGCAAAGAAGGGTCCTCAATATTTTTTATTTGTGTGGCATGTGTATGAGCATCATCCTAGTTTCTGTGTGAAGGGAGAAGGGGTTGGTCTGCATGGCTTGGGAGATGTCTGCTTCATGCCATTTCCCTCTGACCAGTGCAGTCCATCAGTTTGCAGGGTCTTTTCAGAGGAGAGATACGGCAGGATAGAGACGGAGGTGCTGAGTGATTCTCAGGATGTTTATAACTCCGAGGTTATCGCATCTTAATGCAGCCTTTGGGCTGTGAAAGCTTATTGCTTCTGCATGCTTTATTCAACTGGACACAATACTCCAGATTTCAATAAGCATTTGGAAAGTATCTTCTGTGCTACATTGCAAATAACAGTACTGTACCAAAAGTAATGCAACTGGCATGGAGATTGTTGGAAAATGCCCTGGGGTGCCCCTACAGCCCCCAAACTCTGAGCGTCCTCCGATATACACAGCTCTGGAAAAGGCATTTCACTTCTTCTCCAGTGCACTTCAGTGACATATATCAAATTATATATGCACACTGATCTTCTAGCATAACACAGGAAGAAGGGTGAGACATCACAGAGCTAATCTACGCATTTATTTACACACTATGTACAGACACTGCAGATGGTGACAGCAGTCACGAAATTAAAAGATCCCTGCTCCTTGGGAGAAAGGCGATGGCAAACCTAGACAGCATCTTTAAAAGCAGAGACATCACCTTGCCAATAAAGGTCTGTATAGTTAAAGCTTTGGTTTTCCCGGTAGTGATGTATGGAAGTGAGAGCTGGACCATAAAGAAGGCTGATTGCCGAATAATTGATGCTTTTGAATTCTGGTGCTGGAGGAGACTCTTGAGAGTCCCATGGACTGCAAGAAGATCAAACCTCTCCATTCTGAGGGAAATCAGCCCTGAGTGCTCACTGGAAGGACAGATCCTGAAGCTGAGGCTCCAATACTTTGGCCACCTCATGAGAAGAGAAGACTCCCTGGGAAAGACCCTGATGTTGGGAAAGATGGAGGGCACAAGGAGAAGGGGACGACAGAGGACGAGATGGTTGGACAGTGTTCTCGAAGCTATAAACATGAGTCTGACCAAACTGCGGGAGGCAGTGGAAGACAGGAGTGCCTGGCATGCTCTCGTCCATGGGGTCACGAAGAGTCGGACACGACTAAACGACTAAACAACAACAACATGTACAGACAAAGGATTCATGGCGTCTTCTCTCTCCAGCTCCAAGAGAAGAAGAGAGACAAGTGACAGCAAAAGTACAGTACAAATAGTACATACAGTGGAAGAGATAAGACTGTCTTCCGCTCCCACACTCTTCCCAGACAGGCATGTGATTTACACCAATCTCATCTGCGGCATCGGAGGAGTGAAATACTAACATTCTAGCATTATGCTCTGTCGATAAGCGGAGATTTCCAAACCATCTATTACAGAATTCGAATCCATGGTTACCTTGCATGGTGTGGGAGGGAGACATGCAGCAGAATGCAGGGTATTTTCAAGCAGTGGTTATGCGATGGTCAAACATCTCACGCTCTCCCAAGTATCTTAGAGGGAGACAGTGCAGGTGTGAAGGACAGCAGGAGCATTTTACTGGCAAGCTCCTTCCATGTTTACACCTCTGTTCATGCCCTTGCAGTATGCATAGAGCCTTCTCTGCGGTAGCAGAGAATACGTTTTAAGTTTAAGACAACAACCTCAAATGATGTTCCCATGTCATCACTGGCTGTTATCAGATCCCTGAGCAATAACCAGATGGGCAGCAGGTGATACAGAATCCATATCAATGTACACATTTATGTCTTTCCTAGCCATGGCCTTTTAAACCAATAAAAAGAAGAGAAGCAAAATGTAGATTTGGATATTGCAGTGGTATTGGACAGCATGACATTTGCTATTGCTGTTTAGGTGAAACATGCAAATACAGTCGTACCTTGGATCTCGAACACCTTGGCTCTGGAACAAATCGGCTCCTGAGCGATCGAAACCCAGAAGTGAGTGTTCCGGTTTTCGAATGATTTTCAGAAGCTGAACGTCTGGCGCAGCTTCTGATTGGCTGCAGGAGCTTCCTGTAGCCAGTCAGAAGCCGTGCTTTGGTTTACAAATGTTTTGGAAGTTGAACGGACTTCCGGAATGGATTCCGTTCAACTTCCAAGGTACGACTGTACTGCTTTTGGCTGGAATATTTCAAGGCATTACTAAAAGTCAAGGAGGCCAATACTAGCCCAGTATAATATGATTTAGCACTATGTCTGAATAACGTCACTGGGTAGATTATCATGTGGGCACTCTGTTTATTTTATTTATTTCTTAAATGTGTATTCCATCCTTCATCCGTAGATCCCAGGGCGCTCCACAACACAAAAATACAAGATCCTAAAAACAAGAGCAAAAACAAACCAATAACCGCACCCCCACACAAACGTATTGTAACAGGTATTGGATGTCAACCAGCCAAAGGCCTGGTTGAAGAGGAACATATTTTTTTCTGGTGCCTGAAGGTGTATAATGAAGGCACCAGCCAAACCTCCCTTGGAAGAGCATTCCACAAATGGGAGAGCCACTGCAGAGAAGGCCCCGTTCTCCTGTTGCCACCCTCCGGACCTCTCGTGGAGAAGGCACACACAGAAGGGCTTCAGATGATAATTTCAGGGTCCAGGTAGCTTCATATGGGGAGAGGCAAGCCTTGAGGTATAGCGGCCCTGAGCTGTTTTATAGTTTAATATTGGCACTTTGAATTGCGTGAGCAAACTCACCACCGAATTCTGCACCAGTTGAAGTTTCCGAACTGTCTTCAGAGGTAGCCCTACATAGAATATAACTCGTCGCAGTAATCTAACCTAGAGGTTACCAGAGCAAAGACAACTGTAGTTAGGCTATCCCTGTCCAGATAGGGGCACAGCAGGGCCACCAGCCAAAGCTGATGGAAGGCACTCTTTTCAAGCATTCAAATGAACACCTGTAAATGGGATGAGGGAGCAGGTTTCCGTTTGCATCCATTCTACATGGAATGAATGTCCGAAAAGGCTTATGTTCAGCTCCGTCTTTGTGCAACTTCAGATTAAGAGCATCGTGGCTTGTGATGTTTCAGACATGCAGCACTCAGGACGCTGTTATCTGAATCAGTTGCTTTCTAGGACAGCAAAAAAACAAAACAAAAACCCACATGCATACAAAAAAAAAAAAAAAAAAATCCCACTCTGAGCCTGATTCATTTGCCAGGCAAATGTTTTTAGCAAGGCTCTAGAGATGGGTAATAGAATCTCCATTATTTGACCTGTTCCATGTTATGTAATATGTACATATTTTTCATTATACTGGCAGATTTGGGAGGGGTTTTTTTGTTTACAGGGGGTTCTTTTGCTTTTGCTTTTTACAGATACATGCTATCTGTTCTTCTGTTGTTAAATGCAGCTATACCTAGCGGTATTAACAGGGTCAAGTGAAGGTTAAGTGTGTATTAGGGAACTGAGGACAGGGCTGATTCCAAGTAGTTTGGAAAAGCCATTGCGGCTTACATCTGTATTGCTTGGGGTGGGGATTGAGGTCACTTGAGTGAAGCAACGTATGCACCGAACTAAGTGAAATACAATATTTGTGATTCCCAATTCATGTCTGTCCATTCAAATACTGGGATGCTCATGCAAAAAGACAAAACCAAACAGTAGAAGTAGAATAATTCCTTCTGCCTCAACGTACATGTAGAACAGCTGGTTTTCTATTATTTATCTATTCATTCATTTAGCACCTTCTCTTTAGGTCATGGTTGATGTGAATGCACAGGTTGGTTTAGAGTCTGAATTAGCTCTTTATTAAAGTATTCTCGTGCTTTATGAATACCATTCTGTTGCACACGTTTGATTAATGATGTGTTTGATTCTTTGAATCTTTGATGTATATTTAATTAAAACCAGGAGATGAGGAAATGCAGTCGCCCTAAACATTTTATTGCAGACACAAACTTTCAGAAATTTTCTTTTACGTTAGTTCCAATAGCTTATCCCAGTCAATGTAAATTTGCACAAATATGGGCCACACACATACACATAGACGCTTGCTTGCTTGCTTGATGATATCAAGCAAGCAAGCAAGTGTATATGTGTATGTGTGTGTTGCCCATATTTGTGCAATATTTGTGCAAGCAAGCAAGCAAGCAAGCAAGCGTGTATGTGTGTGTTGCCCATATTTGTGCAATATTTGTGCAATATTTGTGCAAGCAAGCAAGCAAGCAAGCAAGCAAGCGTGTATGTGTGTGTTGCCCATATTTGTGCAATATTTGTGCAATATTTGTGCAAGCAAGCAAGCGTTTATGTGTGTGTGTGTGTTGCCCATATTTGTGCATATTTGTGCAATGAGTCCTGCCACACCAAACAATTGAGTTCTTACCAATGAAGAACTGGTATTGTGGTGTCTTTAGTATTGCCAATTCTGCCAGTCAAAGCTCCTCCCTAATTTCCCTTTCCGTCTATAAAGAACACCCTCCTAACAATTTCATTATCGTAATTGGAACAAGAGCATAAAAAGAGGACTTTCTTTCACCCCACAAGCAAAAATCCCCATTTGTCTTGGAAACTCACCAAACTCTAAAGTATGGGCCATTTTTGGAAGCATCCTAAGAGGAAACAGTTATTTAAGCCCAAGCTGGCAGAATATCTGGATTTTAGAATGTATCTTAGTGCTTGCATTTTATTTTGTTAGTTAGCTAAGCCTATGAGAGGGGAATAAGATGCACATTTAAAAGAACAATTTCTCGTTAATGGAAAACTGCAAATTTCAATACTGGAGCAGAGAAGATATAACTTGCCTCTACTTTTCTGTTGACCTTTTTTTTTGGCAAGTCATGTTGCTCATTCTTGTCTAATCACTTGATTTGTTGATTTGTGGTACTAGACAACAAACATTTCAGATGCGAATTCACTTTCCTAAGATCTCCTTTCCACAGTAATTGTCCAAGGGGGATTTGCTTGATGTTTCTTGGAGCCTTTCTGAAAAAAATTCTTTTCTTAAATGTTTATACTACTGTAAATCCTCAAGTGCTAATGCAGCAGTAAACAAAAACAGCTCAGGAAAGTGGCAAAAATGGATTACACAGGTTGGCTGTTTATATATCAAGGCAGTCTTCAGACTCAGGGTAAATAAACACATTCTTCCTCTAAACCTTTAAATGGCCTTTAAGGCATCACCAGTCAGTTCAGAAGAGGAGGGGAAATCACTTTACTTTCTCCTAACATTAAACATGGCCCAAGTTGAAATGAATTATGTTTATTCCACTTGTTAAAAGGAAACCTGGACCCTGCTCCAGCTGGAGGTCACATGTTTTGGGGGGAAGCGTAGGTCTTATAATGAATTTTGGAATGCAAATAGCAGGCACATGGCTCTTTTCTTGGTGGGCGTGCAAATTTATTCGGGGAAATTTGGACTTCTCGTCCAAATTCAAGTTGCTCTACTGCTTGGAATTTGTGATGAGGTAAGAGCGCTCAGTGATTGTGGCTTCACCTTGTGACCCCTGCTTAATTGCTCTTCAGTCTCAGCTTATTACCATGACTGCTCTAGGTTTCTTTCGTGATTTACAAAAATCTTTGCGGTAAGACAAAACTTCTCTCTCTCTCTCTCTCTCTCGTACCCACCATCCAATTTGAGTTTTGTTTTTTATTTAAGACAACAATCTGGGAAGCAAGCTACCGTAAAAATATCAGAAACCAGGGATTTGACTATCCTTGCCCAACATGTAAATGATAATGGAATTGCATCTGTTGGATGGAGAACATCTGCACACCCAGTGTGTGGGTGATCCTTTGCAGCTGTTGGGATTGGCTGTGGTCACCATTTGATCACTTATCTTGCTTCCTTTTAATTATTATCTTTATCCTAGCAATTACAGGGGCTGGTTCAAAATTAAGCTGCGTGGCATTTTAATAAAGATAAGAGAGAATTGAATTTGGTATGCCTAATGAGCATAATAATTATTTGTGCACTGGACTGATCTGATATTCTTGTGCTATAAGAATATATTAATTCAGTTTAGGTCCCTGGTCCACCCTACCCCCACCCCGCCAGCCACTGGATGAAAGCCAAACAATGAAATATTGCATGTTACAGTAGTTAGAATGAGATTCCATTAACCGTTTAGATTAGAAACGGATCTTTAGAAAGCTACTTTGGCACGGGAGAGGAGGGGAGGAAAGAAGCCCCTACATCTGTTTCAGATGCGGTTTGAGTCTCCATAGAAGTACAACAGCCTACAGTAGCTTCCCAGTATGCTGTGGTTCTGTCCACAAACCAGAACTACCGAATTTTTCGCACTATAAGACGCACCAGACCATAAGATGCACCTAGTTTTTGGAGGAGGAAAACAAGAAAAAAAATATTCTGAATCCCAGAAGCCAGAACAGCAAGAGGGATCGCTGCGCAGTGAAAGCAACTATCTCTCTTGCTGTTCTGGCTTCTGCGAAAGCAACACAAAGCCTCTTCAGGGCAGGGGGAATGTTCTTCCTGCTGCTGTGAGGAGGCTTTGCATGGCTATCCCAGAAGCCAGAACAGCAAGAGGGATCGCTGCTTTCTCTGCACAGCGATCCCTCTTGCTGTTCTGGCTTCTGGGATAGCTGCGCAGCCTGCATTCGCTCCATAAGACGCACACACATTTCCCCTTACTTTTTAGGAGGGAAAAAGTGCATCTTATAGAGCAAAAAATACGGTATTTGGCAGAGTATTGTCAGTCGAAGAAGGAAAAGTTTCACGAATAGGATGGAATAGAGCCGTTAAGTTCACTGAATAGGTTTCTTGGGAAAGCTTTATCTTCTCTCTTCGTAGTGTGCAGTCCTCTGAGGCTTCTCTGTTTTGCACCAATAGCCTTGCACGATTCCATTCACCTGGCCACAGTATTTCCTGACCATGCACCACGTGGCTCTCTGTGGTGTGCCTAGAGGGCAATTTGCTCCTCTCACAGTTTGGTGCATTTGGAACTGGAAAGACAGGAAATTAGATTACCATACATTTCCATAAGAAAGAAGTTGTTGGGGGGGGGGGAGAGGTTGGCACACAATCACAAAGGGACTGTTGCCAAGTGAACTACACAGCCCATATTGGTCCCTGAGTTCTTTCCACCTGCAGTAAAGTTGGAAGGTAAGTGTGAAATGGGGGTCACTAGCACATGTGGACTCTGGAAAGCAGGCTGCACATCCAGTCTCCTCCAGAATGATGTCATCTGGAGATGCTGTAGGATTATCACGAGCCAATTGCCACTACACTACACTTCTTTATTAACTTGTGCATCTTCTTATGTGAAAAATGGATTGGTTGCTTTAAGTCTTGGATCCAAATATAGGGTTATGCTAGTAGAATCCTCACCCCAGGCTGAAGCCCCTTGCTCCACAACACACACCACCCCAAAGGATCCCTCAAATCTCTGGAGAAGTTTTCTGGGGGAGTTGTAGCACGGGGTGATAAAATTGGTGTGAGACTGAAACCATGCATAAATGGAAATGTCTTTCACTTGCAATCCCCTGGTGTTTAATTAATAAAAGTCAAGTTGCCACTCAGCAAGTGTCATGTGTAGTTTAGCCTTTGGTGTAGAATTAAGGGCTGTGGGTTAAACCACTGAGCCTAGGACTTGCCAATCAGAAGGTCAGCGGTTCAAATCCTGGCGACGGGGTGAGCTCCCGTTGCTCAGTCCCTGCTCCTGCCAACCTAGCAGTTCAAAAGCACAAGTAGATAAATAGGTACCGCTCCGGCGGGAAGGTAAATGGCGTTTCCGTGCGCTGCTCTGGTTCACAAGAAGCGGCTTAGTCATGCTGGCCACATGACCCGGAAGCTGTATGCCGGCTCCCTTGGCCAATAAAGTGAGATGAGCGCTGCAACCCCAGAGTCGGTCACGACTGGACCTAACAGCCAGGGGTCCCTTTACCTATGATATCGACAGCCTGTGAACCACTACTGTCCTTCTGAGTTCAGCAAGCTGAGCCCTGTAGCAGTCATTCCCACCATTTGGCAGGCAGCTTAGTAGTACAGTAACAACGCCCAGTTTCCTGTTGTTCATTCCCATCAGTTGGATGCATGAAATAGCAGGATGAGGTACTTTTTCACTTTCAACCTGACGTTGCTATTCTTGGTGCCCTCCTTGTTCCATAGCCAGCAGCTAGCAGAGCTACATGGGCAGAACAAGTTATGTGGTTTATTGCAGCAATAACTGCAAGATCAGCTGGTTGTTTTTCTTTAAAGGCAAATGAATCTAGCCCTGAATCCTCATTTCCCTTAGTATATATCTCTGTGCTCTGGTTTCTTTCTTTCTTTTAAAAAAGGAGCTTCCTGTGCCTTTAAGGGTGATGAGAAGCAGCTGTAGAAATGCTGCCAGTATGTCACTTTGGAAATGTCAAAGGAGCAGCAGGTCAGTGGACACCGGTTTTGTGAATCCCCCTTGTCACCTGCACCTGACCCTTGCCACTCAACCCTTCCTTTAAACTCACAGAACTGCCCTTGGCGTGGCTGCAGGAAATAAGACAACTTGGGTGTTGCTGTTTTTTAGCAGCCACAAATCTGTCTCTAGGGTGCTTCATTTTCTAAGATTAACTTTCTACTGTAAAATGACTTTTAAAAAAGGAAATAGTACACAGGAAGAAACAAAATCTGTGCTCTAAAATCAAGCGCTGGGATTAGTTTTTTAGACTCCTTCCATTCTCAATAAGGCCTTAATATACCATTTCCACTTAACACAAAGGGAAACACATTTGAATTCCATTGGCTTGAGTGGGAGATGCTGACAGTCCAATTAAACATATGTTTACTCATAATAAAGCTCTATTGAATGCATTAGGAGGACTCTAAGTATTGTACATGGGGCTGGAGCTTTAAGGGTTTAAAATTTAGCTTTGGCTGGATTATGCCTGTTGCTACTTTCTAAACTAGGATTTTATGCCCCAGTCTTGTTAACTCAACTTGCTCTAATCTAGGAATAGCCAACATGGTGTTCCCTACATGTTTTGTGGCGTATGGTTCTCATCGGCCCCAGTTTACATGGCCGATAGTCAGGTATTATGGGAGATGTCGTTCAACAACATTGGCTAGCCCTGCTCTAAGCTGTGTACCTCTAAATCAGGCATAGGCAAACTCAGCCCTCC